AGCTGTGAAGTGAACAAACTCCTTTTGTTCCTAGTGACCACACAGAACATCCTTTCGTTTTGACATTACATACTAGCAACTTAAATTCCTGGTGAAAAACAGAACAGGAAAGAAGGCAACGTTCAGATTGTATTCACATTCTATGAGAGTTGGTCTCTCAGTCTCGCCTTTCACCAAACTCGGTGTTGTTCCCTACCCTCAGAAACACTTCACAGCAGCCTGGGGCAGCTGAAACCACCTACTCATGGTTAACCTGAAGAGCCCATTTGCTAACTTTGGCTTGTGCTTGTCTTGTACTGTATTGAGACGTAAGTCTTGGTATTTGCTCCATTGCTGAGCTGAACACAGGTGGATTTAGGTAGGGACCACACCATCCTGAAGGCCAACCAGTAAGGATAAGGACTAAATAGTTGCAGCACATACCTGAAGCTGAAATCCTGAAAATGCACCAGGTGCTGCAGGAAGCCGTGCACCATTGTCTTGCACATAGGAACAGGACTGAATCCTGTTTGGGCACATACCTAACATGCTCCCTCTCTTTCTGCTCCGCTTTATTCACTTCCCTCAAAAAAACAGAACAAAACAAAACAAAACAAAACCACTACCACAAACAAAAACCAACCCACAAACCAAAAATCCCCAAGAAAAACCAAAAAACCCAAAACCACACAGAAATTGCCAGTCTCATCATTTGCCATAACTATGCCTTGCACCACATTTTCATTAATAAAACACCGCAAATCTTCAGTTACGGCTGTCGGCGCAACAGATACTGGTGATGGGTTGAACTCTCAGTGACTGTTAGGACACATTTATATGTTAATCCTATACATTAGTCATACTGATGTGAGGGTATATGCATTCAGAACACTTATTTTCAGATTCTCTAAGAAACTATTTGGCAAAGGAGTGGGGGGAAAATACCAGTCCCTTCAGAGCTCAGGCACTGAGTTCCTCCAGTGTGACGCCAACACCAGCACTCCACTGCTCACATTCTCTGGCTAATGCTGAGGTCCTGATCCTGTGCTTGTGGTGAAGCGATAGCAGTTTTAACTGCTGTGCTTCCTAACCCTCTTCAGTTGTGTTTGGTGGCATCATACTACTTCTGTCTAGAAAATGAAGCTTTTCTCTACTGTTTGATTGGACATCAACTTTTGAGCATCCCTGAACTGCCAGGGCCAAACAACAAACATGAGCAAGTCAGAAGCAGGCATCTCAAATGTTAATTTTTAAATATTTCAGCACTTTTGAAATATGAAAATCACGCTTTAGACTGAGCCTAAAGAAAAGGCATAATATAAAAAGGTTTCTATTGTGGGATGATTTTCCCTTCATGCAGCCTTTAACAATACACAACACAGTATCGCTTACGTCAGAGAAGCGGCAACATAAAATCTGGCTGTTAACAGAACTCTCCCAAAAAGTAATCGGGGCTTCCTACCTTCATCTCCTAGACTCCACACACACACACACACACACTTTCAAAAGTACTACATGGTAAATATCAGAATTTTAAAAAAGGAGTCTACTGATAACAAAAAAAACCAGTAACTTTAAAAAAAATTCTAGCTTTTGCAAGAACCAGGACCGTTCCTCCATGGGATACATCACATTTCCCAACTGCAATATCTGTAGCCAATCCTAGTCATGTTTTCCCTATCCCTTCTGTATTTTATACCAGAAAGATTTCACAACTCTAAATCATGTTGGGAAAAAAGCTGGTGACTGCACAGAAGCGAGGCGAGACAAGAGCCCTGTGCCTGGGACTGGGAATGGTCGCGTGCTCCATGATGATGTACTTCTTCATCGGGATCACCATTGTGCCATTCTACACTAGAAGGTAATGACAGTCATTTGTTTATTAATACAAAGCTATTTATTTTTCCTGTCAGTAAAATACAGTGCCAAAAACATGGTAGCATGTTTTACAATCAACAAAACAGTTTGTTCTTGAAGAACTCGCAGGAATTTAAGATGGAAGGAAAGAGAAAGGGAAAAAACTGAGCCAAGAAGTCATCAGGCATTTACAGGTAAGCACAGGAAAGAGGGATCATCCTCAGGGCTAGAATTCGGACAGACTAAACCAAAACAATTGTTATAGAAACACACAAAATAAACATTTATCAAAGCTTGATAACGGAAAGCTATGTCTTGCATAAATGAAAAAGGGAAAAAAAGCAGCAAGCATTTCCATATGCAGGAGAGTGTGCTGTTTTCAGTAACAGCATAAAAACTTCAGCAACAAAAGTCACGGTAAAATTGTTCAGTCAAGAATCTGTTCCTTACCTCAAAATCAACCACGATGAGAAACGAGCTCCTTCAACAGCCCAGACCACCACAGCAAATGCTGAAGAAGTTACTATTATTTAGTTACATTTTTATTTCATATTGCAAGTTCTGCCTTCACACACAAAACCAATTTGCAAAAAACCAAAGTAACAAGACAAAGAGTGCAGTTCAGTTTTTCATACTTGAAGGTTTTGATGGATAAAGCAAATACATTCACCTCATTCTTCTTGCTAGAAGCACTTCTAAGCTCAAAAATGTTTGAAAAACCTCTTTAAAACAAAGTAATTCAGACTTATTTTACGTATTTTCCAGCCTCCCAATTACGTTACAAAAGACATTTGAGTGTAAAAAGATTTGTTTCTTAAGAACTGGAGTGAGACTATTTCTTTACTTTTTTGCCACCAACATATACTGCTGTAAGCAAAAGTTTACTGTGGAATCAGTAATAAAAGAGTAACTTTCGAGATAAAGGGACACGTAACAGAAAAACAACAAACAAATAAACAAGGAAAAACAACCAGGAACTTTTGCCAGACAAAATCCTACTTATTCATGGAAAAGGTCCCTCTAATAAAGAAAAGGAGGGGCAGAGAAGGGGTGGGAATCATGGGAACTGATCCAAGTTCTAAGAATTATTCAGTGAAGTTAGTCAAAATATTTCTGAGACAACAAAGGCTCCACCATGCTCAACCAGATTTCAAATAATAAGCTTTACCAGCATATTGCACGTCCAGATATTTATTACCAAACACTAAAATCCGCGGCAATTTTTATTTAAGTAACACTTGAAGCTGATTACAGATGGGGTTCAAACCTAATTTAAAGCCACAGAACACCTAACAAACAGCAATAACGAAGCTCTTTCCTGCACTGCTGTCCCATGGTAGCCCCTCGCCAAGCACACTCATCGACTTGGGGTGGGCAACATTCACTGCAGCAGAATTGAGCAGCCCCGAGCTCCACTCATGCCATTGCTCCCAGCTGGCACACACAGGCACCTCCAGCAAGCAACTCGTAACAGAATGCCATTAACGCATTTAAAAGTGACAACTTGTGGGTTTGGTGTGTGTTTGTTTGGTTTTGTAGTGTTTGGACAGCAGAAACTGTGTGCAAAGTACTCAAAGCCAACATCAAGGACAAAAGTCTCTGCCCAAACAGCGAAGGCTCAGAGGACGAAGATACCTTTCCTTATCCCTGTCTACAGGTGTGGGTTAATCTGACAGCCTCGGGACAAGAGGTTATGCTGTATCAGACTGAAGATACACTGGAAAGAAATCCTAAGGTACTTGCAACACGGACTGAATGATTGCTCTCTGCTGGTATCTGACAGCTTTGAGAAGGGGCGATTGTTTTTAAACCAAGTAGCAGAGTAAGAGCAGGAGCTGTTCAAGTTTTACTCGAAAATGCCTGTGCTTAGACGAAGGTATTTTTTAAATAATCCAGACGTCACACAGTTTTGGATTTTCATTTAAACATTACATCAAGCCTTAAATTAATGCTTGTTAAGCCATTACACCAAACATGAATATTTAACATTTATGAACATTTACAAATATGTAAGTCTCAAAAAAATAGTAAGAAATAGTTTATAAGCTATGGTTTGCTCAGTTGGTTACTGAATTATTACAGAAGAGAGCTGAAGTTTAAAACTGTCCTAAGTAAGAGGACAAATCTCAATTTTAGTTCCATTTTAGGTGTGATATGAAGCAGGGAATAAAGGAAGCAGAGACAGGGGAAATGAGGGTATTCTGTTTGGAACATGATGCACAATTTAGACAGAAAGGAGAAACAAATCAGTAATTTTGGGAGATTATTGCTCAGAAAATTTGTCTTTGGATATTGTTTCTGGCCAGCACTGCAGCAGAAACCTGAACTCATGGAGAAGGCAGTGGTGCTGCAGGAGGCACCCATGTATTGCAGAGACACTGGGTATTGCAGTGGAGGTCCCCTATTCAGTTGTTTCAGGAATCTCTTCCCCAGAGGATGAGTGCAGACCACGGGTGGGACAGGAATGCGAGTGCACAGTATTCATTTGCCTTTAGAGGTGCGTGAAAGATTGGGGAAGGGGGAAAAGTAGGGTGTTACCCTTTCGGTGCTGTCAGTGTTTCTGCCTGGGAATCAGCAAAGAGCTAAACACTTTCAGACTTGCTCCCTCACAACCAGCAGTGCTCCTACAGGTACACTGTCCAAGGGAAGGTCAGGTTCGGCTCAGTTCCAAAACCATAAGTATTTCAGAGGCCTTATTCCAGCTCAACACTCTGTTCAGGGACACAAAGTGAAATTCAGATCTCGGATGCACTTTCAAAATCCAAATCCGTGCTCAGACTACAAGTGCATCTTAAAGGAATTACAGATTAGAGTTTCACACAGCGCAAACCTGATAGCATCAAACACTTAAGAGGAAGAGAATTTCCCTAGCCTATCCTTATAGTGACTATCTCAGGGAAAGCTACATACAATGAAGTGGCAAAGCAGAAGTCATCCACTTGATCTGAAACAAGAGTCTTGTTCACTACAAGATGAGGTGATTTGCTGATTTCCTACCTACTGTTAGCATTACTGCAGGTACAAGCTTCAGGTCAGGAACCACCTCCTTTCTGCCTTGGCCAGTTCCCAGTTTAAGACACCTAAACATTATTACATATGCAAAATAGTATTGCAGAAAAGAAAACACTTATGAACAACAACAATAATATCAGTGCTTCAAAGACTAAATAACTTTAGTAATAGTAGTAATAACTATTAGTAGAAAGTAGTAATAACTTCAGTAAAAAGTAGTAATAACTTGTGTTACTACTACAGGTCAAAACAGTTCTGTGTTACAAGGACAAGGAGGGAGCCTCCAACAGCAGTGCTTTCCTCTTACTGTCTATGTGCTACAACCAGAGCTGCACAGTGAACCAACTTTGTTTCCCTGCACATTGCAAAGCCAGTTGTGAATTTCTGCACAACAATTTCTGCTCTGGTGTTGCCTAGAAGCTCTGTTAGGAATCTGAGTTTGGCACTGTAATAATGAAGTCACAGTCCCAGAGACTGCAGTTGTATTTCAAGCAATTTCAAGTATTATTGGTTTCCAACAACACTACTCCAACTTGTAAATCTGCAGACTGGGGACACAGACACACTGACAGAAACAGGGAATGGGTTATGGACATAAGGAAACCAAGATGTGTCCAGGGATGCTAGCCAGACCACAGAAGATTTTGGCAGTGCTATTACATTTGTCTTACTCAATTTGACTTAGCTACAAATACTGTATTAAAGGATTTATTACAATGAATCACCTTGATTTCTCATTCCAGTGCTCATATGTCCCAGGCAAGTCGGAGAACTCTAAAGAAGTTAAAGCACGAATAGAAACAATTGCAAGCAATTTCAAAAAATACCAGACTTTCCCATGCTACTATGACCCAGGAGGAACGCAGACCAATGTCATTTTAAGCAGACTTTATGCCCCGAAAGGCCTCCTCTTTGCTTTCCTTTGGCCTACACTCCTGTTTACTGGTGGATGTCTGATTATTGTTCTGGTAAAGATCAGTCAGTATGTTTCCGTTCTTTCTGCTTGGCAGTAGAAAATAAATATCTAGCTTAGACTGCTGCAAGATATTGGAGTGCCTTTGTTCTTGCCTGTCTTCATCTGCATTTTCTGACTTCTAATAACACCACGTGTCAAGCAAAGGGCAGGCGCTCCAGAAAACTGAACGGTACCCACTATGGATGGCAATCCTTTACATGAGGATAAAATACAAAACTGATTCCCAGGAATGGCTGAAAATACCTCCTAAGAGCACAGACTGTGTTACCATTGTTTCCTTGGGTTTTCTGAGGTACAGTTACTATACAGAGCTACAATTCAAGTTTAGTAGTAAACTATTGTGCCACATTTCAGACAGGATCCTAATTTGCTGTCAAGCAAGTTGGTGCCAAATCCATATATATTACTGACAGACACAGCTTTTATATACTTTATCACTGATACATTATCTATTCATGGCATACTCCTGTCTGTAGAGAAAAGCAGCTTTGTTATGGTCCAAAATGGTATTTGTTATCATGGAGATCTCTGCTTTTGAGAGAGAGGAGAGGGGAAACCACTTGGAAGCAAAATATACACACACACACAATCATTTCAACGTTTGCACTCTAAACACCTAACACCAATTGTATGTAAGGAAGGATATGCATAAAGTACAGGGTATGGTAAACAGCTCATATTTCTAGTATGAGTTTTTGCATTTAACTCAAGCCTTAGCTTTGCTTTACTTTGAAACAAGTGCATCACTCAAGGAAGGCCGCCTCCCTGTCATCTGCCTATATTATAAAACTTTTAAGGAAGTAAGTCACAATATAAAGAATATCCATTACCAAATACAGTAATCTAACGTAACCACAGAAGTTTGCATGCTCAGCACAAAGGTATTTCACAATATAGACACGTCTGTTTCTAGCACCAAGACTCCTAGGAATGCTCTGATACACGTATGGGCACATCTTCTGTTCCTGAAAATCACAGAATCCCAGACCGTTAGGGATTGGAAGGGACCTCAAAAGCTCATCCAGTCCAATCCCCCTGCCGGAGCAGGAACACCCAGATGAGGTTACACAGGAAGGCGTCCAGGCGGGGTTTGAATGTCTGCAGAGAAGGAGACTCCACAACCTCTCTGGGCAGCCTGGGCCAGGGCTCTGTCACCCTCACTGAGAAGAAGTTTCTTCTCCAATTTCAGTGGAACCTCCTGTGTTCCAGTTTGTGTCCGTTACCCCTTGTCCTATCATTGTTTGTCACCGAGAAGAGCCTGGCTCCATCCTCGTGACACTCACCCTTTAAATATTTATAAACATGAATGAGGTCTCCCCTCAGTCTCCTCTTCTGCAAACTAAAGAGACCCAGCTCCCTCAGCCTTTCCACATAACACACTCTCCCTCTCTCTCTCAGCCAATCTTCAAATTGGTGCTAGATACAGGAGGAACATCAGATACTTTCTGCATCCTGTACGTGGCCGGCACTTGGGACACAACTAGTACAAGCTTTGTCATCACACAGCTGAGGGACCCCTTAGTAGCTACCATTCACAGGGAAATTTCAGGGCTTCAATACAAATTTAAATTCATTATGATCAGCCAATAAAAATTAGAACGGAATAGCACAGATTAGTAGTTATTAACGTCAGCAACATTCATTCCTCATGCAGCCTGAGACCTGTTGAAGGTAATGCACTCTCCTGGTACCAAGGCACATGAACAAACTAGCTGTAAACAGAAAGAAAGATTTGTTTAATAAGCTCTCTCAAAGCTTTACTCCAAATTTTGCTTTTCATCAGTTTAAAGAGTCTCTAGTTTGCAAGCTAGAACTTGCCCATGCTTTATGCTCAGCCCAGCACATCAGTAGCCCCACCAGCTCACTCCCCTCTCAGCTCAGCAGAAGTGAATGGAGACAGGATGTTGTTGTTGTTTCTAGTGGTAGTCCCTGTGGCCCCACTCACTCACGAGTCAGTAACTTCTCTCTGAAGAGCAGAAGCTCTTCATCTTACTGAGCTCAGAACTCAGCATGAACTCCGAGGATGAGGAGCTCTGGCTTCCAACTCCCACTTTGGCTACCTGACACCACCCACTAACGCCACATCCTTGTCACCTCCCTGCTCATAGTTACCCCTGACAGCAGCGGATGAAAACTTATTCAGGGTGCAAGCTGTACTTCCAGATCTACCTCTACCAAAAATAAAATGAGTCAGTTATTACATGCAAAGTTATTTACATCCAACGCATACACACTTCAAGTACATGAAGAAAAACCTTACACAAATTTTATTGTCCGGTAAGGTAGCATTTCTTATTTGGGCAGGAGATATGCCAAGTGAAAACAGCTGGTGCCAGAGAAAAACCACACACAAGTTCGGAAACTCTATTGTTCTGGACTCTCACCAGACTCGGTTTCCTCTTTCGCCCAAATGAAAGAGGGGATTTAAATGCAAAAAGCCAAATATTTTAATATATAAAACAAACACCCAAAATATATAGGTACCAATGTTTTGCCCATGTATAAGTGTTGCTTATTTTATAGTTTTGAGAAAGTTAAGCATTGAAGTCATAGCTATTTTTCCCCCTTCACACTTTATCTTAAATTTGAATTTTTTTTAACAGTGTGCTAGTTTGCTGAATTACTCTTGAGCTTTCATAAGCATTTTTCTACTCTTCTTCCATCTGCAAAAGCTGCAATTCACTAGAGACTGAAGTTTTAATAGCACCTTCTGTGCTTCTTAGAGCAGCACACAAGGAAGCCGTATAGCCTTTAGGGGCTTTTGTTTGCTTGAGGTGTTTTTTAATATTACTGTATTATACCATCAAGTGTACAATAAATCTGATAAATAAAATTCTATTTTTCTGAGATTCAACAAAACACTTACTATGAGAAGTGCTTCAATACAAGCAGTGACCATTGCAGTGACAGAGGCACACAACTCGCTTTCTCAAGGCACAGTAGATGATCAAGGTATGTATTACAGCATTGAAATTCCTGCCAGGGGAGGAGTGGCCTACACATAGCTTTCACCAGCACTGATGCTTAGACCACAGAAATACTGCTTGCATCAACTGGAACGTGCAAGGAACGCAGGCAGAATGAGGATAGATTTTAGATCCTAATAGAGCACCTGTGCAATTGAAGTATTCATATGTCTATATGAATAATAATGTTTTGCTGAAACTGTTAGAAGTCCTGTTTTTCAAGTGCTGAGCACAGACTCTCTTCTTGGATGTGGGGATTCTACTGCTGGAAGATGGAAAAGAACAAAAGCTTCAGCAATCTTCTTGAGGAAGCCAGCATTCCTCACACAAACACACACACACAAAACCAAACCCATAAACTATTGCAAAAAAAGGTTGTAACATGAAGCTTATTCCTTAAGTGGGAAGCTCTTTTTTTGGGATGAGGTAGATTCAGCTTTCATCAGGTTTTAAGATAATGACCTTTCTCCAACTTGGACGAGGGAGACACGATGGCAGCTTAAGAGGAAACTATGGGACACTGATTTGCTAAGAAGCCATCCGTGAGTCACCAGTATGCTGTTATATATGTAAACAGTAACAGGTATCTTCTGACTACTGCTGACGGTATCCTGCTAGCTGGGGCTATTTTTATTACTTGACCCTGAAAGCTGCACCAGGACAGTTAATGTAGAGAAGTCTCTGGGCTTCCTCCATCATTGCATAAATCCAATGCACTTGTCAACAAAATACCCTCCAACTGAGTAACTGATACTTTGCTCTCAACTTTTTGGGTTTTTTTTTGTTTCATTTCACCAAAACCAATTAGGAGTGTCTAGACTATTCACTATTCAGAAACCATGCAAAAGAATTCAGATATTTTACATTTGGCACTTTCCGTAACAGACAAGAGGGGGAGGGAGGAAATAAAGCATCTACAAGCTGGCTTGAAGTTAGAAAATATTTTTAATAGAGGAAAAGAAGTTTGAAGCACTGATTGGAGGCAGTTATCCTCTGCTGACAATAAGAAGGGTTGGTAGCTAGCACAGAGGGTGCAGGCCAGCCATATAAACCCCATGCAGGAACCAAGACTGGTGTACAAGCACATAGCTGCTCTTGGTCAGAAGTTGAAATTGGGAATCACCCCAGAAGCTCGAGGACACAAGGGGAACATCAAAGGATCTGCAGAGCAAACTGCAGTTTTCTTTCTCCCCCCCTACAGTATTTGCAAACAGTAAAAATCTTAAGAATGCATGTAGGGGTTTTCTGCTGTTGTTTAGTTCTCCTGGAGCAAAGTTTCTTTTACTGTACTGCTATAAGACTGGTCAGCTTTGATGAATACAAGCTATACTGGCGAGTTGCAATATTAGATGTTTTTGTCCTTGTTGACCCCAATTCTCCACACTCTCAAGAGCATTAACAGAAAGAAAAAAGACAGCACAGATCAGATAGAGTGAGGCGGCTATACTCAACTTCCACATAAAATAGCCAGTGAAACACAGATTAACAAAAGTGTCTATTTATTATTATGCTCCACTAGAAGAAATAGCAAAGAAAAAAGATCTTGTCAAAGTTGAAGGACTGACAAACTGTTCTTTCAAAGCTTTCTAAAAATATCTACACATCTCTTAAATAAGTACAAGTAGTCTCATTACATCCTTTCTCTAGAAGTGTGATATGACATTTACACCGAAATTAAGCTGTCATATAGGTAAAAATATTCACACACTGCCGTACCCAAACCAGCACAGGTAGGTCCCCTTTTCTCTTTGATCACACACCTCTATCAATAATAAATTCAAAAAACTGATGTTGCATTAGTATCTCTCTCACACTCAAACCACCTTTGCTAGATACGCATTACTGTAATTGCCTTATCTCAGAAAACCAAGTTTTTAAAGATGTACTTTCCATTTTTTACCTCTTATAATTCCAGGCAGATTTTCAGAAAGTCTCTCAGCATGCTGAACAAGTCATTCTGCATTCAGCACAAAGAGCAAGTAAGCAAAACACCTGAAAATTCATCAGCAAAAAGATAGCCCAAGATTAATATTATAGTTTGGGGGCAGGGGAGAGAGCCGTTTGTTGGCTCCATCTCTTCAGTGAACTATTTGTACCACACTTGGAACAAGACAACTTGAATGAAGTAAATAT